CTTTACAGCCGTTTCGATCTAGTTTGGTCTCATCAGCAGTTCAGAATCGATCGTCCCAACTGAGGATTGAATTGCCACATTGTAATCAGTTGATTAAACTGGTTACGGAACAGGATTATTCACTCGAGATTCAACTGTCTGATTGAGGTTGAATACGTTAGGTTGTCTGGTTATGTTCACCTCTGGATGTGAGTAATCTGCTTCTGTTTCCACAGTTAAGAGTGGTGGATCCGAATTTCTACCACTTTGGCTATCGGACTTATATTATTTAACAGATTAGTGAAGACAAGCGAAGAATTATCTGGGATGACCATCAAAGAACAACGAACAGCTGTTTTCTGCGTACTTTTTGTTCCTATACGGACTCGAACCGCGAACCTTCGAGTTGGAAGCCGAAACTCTAAGAGGATAATCTTATTGACAAAATATTGAAAATCGGTTCTCGTAATCTTATTACATAATCTTATGTTTAAGTTCAAATATGCCATGACTTATTAAGTTAGTCAGACACAGTAGGGTCCTGTTGGTGATCATAAATGATTTGTCGACACCTACTAAATGCCCCGTGTTGATCAGATGTTCCTACTAGTTAAGCAACTCTGCTTAAGCTTCGATAAAACTATACCAAACCCGTTTTGTATGTCTGCCTGTACACGACTACAATAAGACTCAGGTGGAACTATTGAGCTGAATTACGAAATGATATGTGCCTTTGGAATCCATTTTTGATTTTTTTAATTTGATTACGTCAATTCATTATCTGATAGTCCCTAATCTTCCTCTACCCTTTCTCTCTTCCGTTCGCTCCGGTTATTCCCCATCTTTTCACTGGCTTTTATCGAATAAAAAGAGAGGAAAAATAAAGCTAACGCACCTATCAAATCTCAATAGGGACTTCACCGAATTCGATGAATGCCTCCGAACAAATACTTATTTTTATTCACATGACTACCTCAGATAAACTCACCCTGATCAGATGACCGCTTGGTTTGAACCTAGAGATCGATTAATCCCTCCGGATTACCGTCAAATAATGGGCGGTGGATTCGAGTCCAGTACGAATGCCCATAATACTGCTGGCCTATTAAATGAGACATGTGTTTGTGATTTAATTCGGACAGACTATACCNACACGACGTGCACGGTCGTGCTCACATGCCTTGTCCCACTCACGAGAACAACGCACAACGAAATTACCTGCAATTGAATCCACCGGAACTAAACGAGATGCAAATGGACAACCATTGATTAAGTGTCAAAAAGCCCCATGGGGTGATTCTAAAGACAACAAAGAACAGCCTGCAGAAACCATACATTTTCCACGAATCTGCAAACGATGGTCCCCAACACCCGGAGCCGGGCCCAAGTTTCGTATATCCGATGACGACAGTCGAGGCAGTTGTCCAGGCCTGGTGATAAACACGAACAACACCAGTTACGATTCGCTCAATCGACTCTCTTCGCACGTTAGCAAAACCAGTGTTATCAGTCGACAAAATCGCACCCCTAGTGCTAGTGTCATCAAAGGACCTGCTCCAAATCCGGTTCTATTGCCGATCAATTTTACAGACCTACCAGGTGGCTCTGAAAAACGAGTGCGTGTTAAAACAAAACGGCACAAATTAAACATGGGTGAAACTGAAGAAGGAAACAACTTTCCAACTTTTACCGCTCATAATCCGACAAACCCGGCCGAGTCTAGGTGACCTCGGACAGACAGTATGTGCATGTATGTGCATTGCGAAAATTGGTAGTCCGCTGCATCGGTATGCCAAGAGCTCTGTGTCTGTGAATTCAAATCACCTGGCCTCAATTCTTAGCCTAAAAGCCAGATTCCGGTACACTTGGTACCAAATAAGTTTCCGACAACCTTGATCACACCTGATCTTGGACGAATCCGGGTGTGAAGTGTCGCACATGACTGGTTTGATTTGTACACCACCAACTTCATCAAAACCACCGCAACCATTTTCTCCATTTTCTCATCTGCTTGTGGTGATTGTTTGGCAAGTTGAGGTCCGTTTCACCACTCAATTCTACGCAAGTTCGTATTAGTATAAAGGCCTGGATTAAATACAGGAAATAGAACAGTTATTTTCTTCCATTTATGCATCATAAATGCCATCAATGTGAAACAAACATGCAGACAAAGTTGAAAAAGTAATTCGTGTACGTCTGCTTACGTCTGTTTTAGTGTCTAATTTTTCTAGGTCACTATTTTGCACCAGTTTCAGATGGTGTGCCAATCAAATCATGATCAAAAGTTTAAGAAATAGGAATGATAATGAGTATAATATGCATAAGGAAAAAGGAAAATAACCCCTACGCATTCGTTTTCATCCAATGCCGTTTTCATGAGGCAATCTCTTGTGAATTGTTTCATTTTTTCGTCCGCGAACGAATTGAGTTAGCACTAATTTCACGCAGTAAATTCTAAAGTTGGTAAACTTGGAACCATAAATGAGAAAAGTCTAAATTTCTATGATTTAAATGGATCCCACTTCTGCATTTGTTTGTATCAATGGAACTCCGTTAGACAACGTACCCGTCTAGTTTTTCGTTGTGCTACAATCATCTTGAAGCTGGAACGTGTTCCGTCAGCATTTAGTAGGCAGAACGCTTGTTTAATAATTCAGCATGGTGTACATTTTGCCCGAGACATCATCACTAAAGTGGACTACGATAGACATTTTCGCGCAATCGGTCGGTAGGTACCACTTGGTTGAACTATTTTTTCCAAGTTGCTAGGGATCGATCAGCCTCAAAGTTGTTTTTACTGCTGTCGAGATCGGGGGTCGTAGATGAAATTCTCTATCCCCTAAAGCAGAATACTAGCGATTTTAGGTCTAATACCTACATCGTGTTTCTGACTGGATGAAGTAAATAAACTAAAATTGAAGTTTTTCAACACTTATAAAGAAAGGTAGCCTATAACTGGCACACGTTGAACCACTATTGTGAGCATCACATTGCGAGAACCAAATTTCACAGTCTCAGTGATAGTTTCAATCGGTACAGACTTGGTATTACAACATGTGGATGTACTCCAAAGTACAAGGTTCACATCTCAGGCATACACACCCGATCAGTGGAGCACCAGTCAAGTCCGGATAACAACCGGAATGAATGCTCTGAGTTCTACCAGCCTGTCGAGCAGGGGGGAAGGATTATCGTGCAGTGATGCCAGAAAGGGTGTACGCATGAAATAAAGTCCACCTATGTGAGCAGCGAGTGTAATCCTTAACTCAAATTTAATCAATCGAATATCAAACTAACCACAAATGCATGTTCATAAAGCCCCGTAGTCTGTTTACAGAGACTGACATCAGTTTCAGGGGAAATTTATCGCATGTCCCTGTTGTTGTATTTTATAGCAGCCGCATGCCTATAATAGAGAAGAGTAGAAAATAGTTTAAATGATGAGAACACTTAAATGAACGAAAAGCAGATAGAGTTCAAAAGGTTTGAAGAACAGTTTTCTTCTCCTGAATGGACATTGGGTTCATTCGGTTAGAAAATGCGTTACCGCAAACTCGTTAATTCAAGTCTAGTAACTGAACAATAAGGCAATATCTCTTATTTGCTGATTCCAGAATGATTGAAAGAGCGTTATTTTTTATCTTCCTTTCTTTTGAGTCGCCACATATAAACCGGATATCCGCGTCTACCTGAATTGACGGCCATAAATCCGTTAGAAAACTGGCTTCAGTTCGGTTCGTATTGGTATTCGAATTCCACAATATTTGCTATGATCCTGACGTTCTACACAGAAAATTGAATGAAATCGAAGCAGTTCATGAAATTAGGTCATAAAATATTTCACCTGTTGAATCTAACTAATTGATAGAAATCAGGAAATCATCCCGTAATTTCGCCTGTTGTCCCGAATCATTGAGTGAGCGTGTTTAATTATGCTTATTGGTCCGGGTCATTAGTTAATTTGTATACACTGTTCTCTGGGTATTTGTGCTGTATCCAATCCCCACCAAGTTCGGTGAATGTCATCCAACGGGACAGTCCATCTATAGAGGTATGTGCAACGCATATCCTAATTATCGGTAGAAACTTATCACCTGCATGGCTACCCGATCTTGGTAGCGTGGTACTTCATACCCGGGGTCAGCACTGACGATCCGGTTTTTCCAATTAATGCTTGCGGTGTCATGAAGCCATTGTTTGTCGAAACTCGACACTCTGTTTGCATCCTTTATGCAGAATGTCCGTGTCTCACAACTGCCAGCTGAGATTGATTGAGATACTGTCGTTCTTTGACGGGTGACCAAGTGCCAAATTATTGTCGTAGCACATCCACATGACCCAAAATTAGCCAAGTAAATANCCCCTACAGAAATCCGATAATAAACGCTCGCACCCTTCTTCTATAGTGCACGAAACACTGTTAACACCAACCTGTTCTGTTGCACAATTTCTCGGTAATCAAATTACTCTGACTGATCATATCTACTGAAAGTTCAGCGTCTAAGGTTTTACTGGCTTTTAGGCAAATCATGTCAGTAGTACATTAGTCCATCAGGATCGTGGAGAACGTTCCATTCGGAAGTTCACTTGATGTGACTTCTAACCCTTTCAACTCAATAACACTCAATAAGGCGGCTTATTATTCATGAAAGCGATTTCATATTCTTGAATTGATATTCTTCGTTGAATTCCACCTTCATTTTTTAAGTTAGGTCGAATTAGGTCAACCAACTGATTACAGCCAACCTACTGTGATCAGTGAATTTGTACAGAACTCTTATGAATACCGGTACCCAGATTATTTTATGTGAGTAATTTCCCCCTATATAGCTCTGAGAACCATGGACCGCATGCTATTCATGTGTTTCAACAATCACTGAAAAACAATGCAGGAGACTGTTATTTGTCGGCCACTTACCTTGTGTGATGTGAACATTGTTCAACGTTTTGGCTGGACATCACCTAACACATTTGAGACATAATCGACTCATACAATGGAGTGCTCTGAAAGGCATCATTCTGAGTGAGGTTAATAGCATTCCGCACCCCCGGAGGGAGGGAAGTATATTTTCTGAGATAAATCAGTTTGGTGAAGGCATAATCAAAATTCATTTGGTAGTTGGTGTCGGTAGATTTGTGTCATCATAATACTCGGTTTCATCAATCTGGGTGGCTTGGTTACTTAAAAGTTGTGGTAACAGAGTGGGGTTAATGACATTGCATGCTACACTTCTTTTGATTGATCGTTGTGACATCAGAATTGACAAGTTCCTTGAATTACTACTAAGTCCAAATTGAATATATAGCAATTTTACATTTGCTTTAATTGTTAGTCAATTTGAAGACAATCTAAACCAGTTACGTGGCAGTTCAATACCTTGAAACTACCGGTAACACCTATTGGGTACCACTGATGTGATTAATTGAAGTTTTACTTTTGTTGTCAAGACATTGCCACGAACGAACCTAGCTAACCTTTACTTCAATTGCTTGCAGATCAATTTATTTACATATTGAATCACACTGAATTTCACTTGACGTTACAATGGTTCGATCGATGCAATACCTATTTACTTCGTTACAGTATGGAAAAACACTTTTCCACTAAAATAGCCTCAGAAATCGAGATCATCTGCACAAAGACCAGTTTTCAACGGTTGTTATTGTATCGTTCCCACAAAACAATGTAGATGGGTAACCCTTTAACGCACATTAACAACACACAGCGAAGTGCAATGGTTCATCGTTCTTTTCTCTCTCTCGTTCTCTCTCTCTCTGTTTCCTATAAGCCACACGCAGATCCAAGGCCTTTTGACTTCGATTTTCCTTGGTGTCCATTTGGCTCAGACGGTACAACTTTTGGCCTTAATTCTTATTTTTTTTCATTTGTCTTTACCGATAATACACATGTACGCCCGGATCTACGTCTTTGGCTCGCCCGTTCTTTCTAGAACATTCGGTTATGGATAAAATAGATTTGTTCAACAGACCTGGTTTGTTGCGATGCCAATTGCAGTCTGTTTTACGCTACCAGTTTTATCACTCCAAAGTGTATTCATTATTCAACTACGTTCCAATTCTGGATTGCAGTAGACTACCGAATCTTCCGTGCAGTGCTTGTTTGGTTTCCTACACGAAACAGTCCGATAGAGATACAAAGCAGTTCTTCGATTCGCACTGAAAAATATTGAAGTTTTATTAATAATCAGTTAAAATCATTAGACCTTTGTCTTTAGGAAAAACTTATCCAGAAAATTTCTCCAGAAAGACTAATTATAAATTTGATGCGAAGACGCACAATTGTACAACTAACCCAACAAAAGAATAAGGGGTACGCAAATCTGACTAGTAACAATTACCGCAAAACATATTGTTTACTTCCAGGGTAATTTGTTCGAGTCATTTAAGTACCATTTGTCGTTTAGTATGAAGTGTTTTGTACGGAATATTATACCATAAAATAGGACACTACCCTCAGAGATGTACATTAGAATGGATACTAGATTATTTTTATTGCAATTTCGTATACAATTGTACCATGCTAACTCTTTCATTTGGAAAAAGGGTGTATAATCGCACCAGACCATAGACAATCATGTTTCTTTATAACTGAACTCAAAATAAATGAGGGCAAATGATCACAACCAGATTCTATTGTCACAATCATTGGCCAGAAAATCGTATAGATTCTTAAAAGATCCTCTAAATTCAACTGGAAACAGAAGTT